CACGGCATGGAGGTCGCGGGAGGCCATGATGTGGATGTCCCTGAGTTCGTGGGCATCGGCGGCGGTGAAGGCGCCGGCACTGCAACTAATCAGCGCACGAAAAACCGCCCGAAAACAATCGGGTACGCACCGGGTCTCGAAGACCTCGTAAATGCCTTTCACGCCCCAATACTCACCGCGAATCCGCTTCTCCCTCAAGAAGATACGAGTCTCCATAGTCACGCGACGCTGCGCATCGGGACAGTGCTCGCCGTGGAACCCACGACACATGCGCGCCCAATGGTCAAGGGCCTCGTCCCACGTGCTGCACCCCTGCATGCATCCGTTGCGGAAGCCTTTGCAGACGGCGGTGGCGCGATCGCTGTTGGCCCCACATTAATAAAAACCAACGAACACACAATACTAAACCTACGGGTTGGTGTAGGCGCCGGGTTGACGCGCCGGGCTTGCGACGTAGAATTTGTCGGTCGAGCTATCGTGGACTCCTTGTGCCGTGTGGCCGGACTCGGGGTGAAACGGCATAGGACAGGTGGGGCGTCCGTCGGGGCCTGGTGCGGCGGTCAAGGGGAAGCCGTCCGGGGTCGTCGTAGGGGCAGCGGGTGCAGAGGAGGGCGGAACAGGAGCCGCGGAAGAAGACGGTGCTGCACCGTTGGGAGCGGTAGATGGAGGAGTCGCGTAGTTGTAGGAGTACTGCATGTTGGGGCAATGTCGAGCCACAATTCTAACAATCGTCTCTTTAAAATAGTTTTTGGCTCCGCCACCGGCAATGCCCGAAGACATTAGTCATCAGGGCGCCGCCACTCGACGCTGACTTTTGCGTCGCATTCCTCATCCCTTTCTTCATCCCACGAACTTGGCTCCACCCTCGACCTCGCCCTCGACCTCCATCATGACCTCCTGCTCACGCTCTCGCTCTCCCTCGTCGCGTTTGTTGGTGCATAGTCTGTCTAGTCTGCATGGCACTTACGTCTGTGTTGCGCAGTGAACATCCGCTGCCAGGCTGGTAGTTCTTCTTCACGACGCCACCTCACTTCCCCGTCTCTTTCAACATGCCTATTTGAACTTGCCTCTTTGAACCTTCCTCTTTGAACCTGCCACGAGCTCCGCGGATTCGGCACCGCGACCGAATCGATGTAAGTACGCAGAATCCCTCCCAGAACGCAATCATCTTGACAGTATACATAACAGTTCAATGTACGAACCGAAATATAAACCAGCCGCTCATCCCTTTCAAAGTAGCACTCCGTCTACCTACCATGCCGAAGAGCAACAAAACTAAAAAAACAAACAAATCATCCTTGCCCCCCGCCCCTCCGCCGTTCCGTTTCAAGGGCGAGCGTCTCGCTTTTCTACAGCTTCACGTCGAATCTTTTATGACCGTATTCTCTGCCGGCACCACCGGGTTGGACGCCTTTTTGACGACATGTACGCCCAATATTGGGTACACTTTCCATGGCGCTTGGAAGTAACCCAGGAGCCGTTCGAAGGCATGCGGATCGACCGCGACACCGACGTTTTGACCGCCAAGGACTTCTCTGAGCGCCTTTACACCAGAACAGTCACCCATAACGTGAGTGATTGGGAATTCTGTGCGCCGCCTCCCTGACGCCGTCCACCAGCGTATCCGCTCGTTCTTCCATCACGCCCGACTCCTGCGAGCCCGCCAAAGCGCGTGAAACCTCAATCTTTCTTTCATGGTATGTCGTCGTCGGTCTTTTTCAGTCCGCCGGTGTCCTGACTCGGGTTTGCGCAGTCAAATCCGTGCCCGTCGCGTAATCCCTGTTGTGTAGCTACCCAGGCCAAATATATTTTTGCTTTGAATGACAACTCGGCACGGACGAGAAACTCAGAAACCATAAACAATTCCCTATTTCGACGACAACGGCTTCAGTTTCGCCCATCGCCGCCTCCTGTTCTCGCCCTGAAGACACATGCGCGCCATTCCGCCTCCAGCTGTTTCTGGTTCCGATGCCCGACGCCCATCTTCCATTGTCGTTCGAGGCGGAAGCGCATCATCAACATCTTACGTCGAGTGCGGACGTAAATCTCGACGGCTGGACTAAAGTATTGAGCGCCACTTCGGAGGCGGAGTTTCGGATTACCTGCCGTCGCACGCGTTCGGTCCAAAACCCAAGGAACAAATGGCTCCCCGGACACGCGTAGCTGGTGGGCCTCCTCGGCAAGAGCGATGGCGCGCAAGGTAGAGTGCTGAAGACTGTGGTGGTCCATGTCAAGCCAAGTTGATTCGATCTAGACTACATGGACACAGCACGCCAAGTTTTCCAGCGTTGGCACGGGGACTTGATGACGAATCATGAACTCTAAATCGTCGTCGTCCAAATCTTTCCCCGCGGCCAGCATTTTGTCAAATGAAGCCACGGTGCACGCGTCAGTGATGCTCAAGACGAGCCGGAAATTACCCCGACACGCCACCACCTCGTCCGGAAGCAAATCACGCCCAATGGCTTCGACGATTGGCCCCTCCGCGCCCTCTGGCTCGCCCTCTCCCTCCTGCTCGATCAAGAATGGAACGATGTGCTTTTGTGCGTGCTGCCTATATACAGCAAACAGCGACCTGAAGTCCCTCCTTAGTTAGCAACGTGGCCAACGGCTCGCATCCCACTTACGTCGCGCGAAGCTTCTCGGAGGAAGCCTTCCGCTGCAGCTCCTCCTCGCCTCCTTCTCGGCGGGCTTCGCGCAGGCGACTCATGCGTTCGCGCGACTTGTTTTGTTCGCGCTGCCTGTTTTTTGCGCGATAGCGGGCTTGCGCCTTAGCGCGCGCACTGGGTTGAGAGGCCGACGTTCCTCCGGCCGTAAACGTGGTGAAAAGCATCCCAGATGGTTGGTTTGAAATCACAGAGGAGGACGGCATGTTAGAGTTCGGGTCCAAATGGTGGATTAACGTTCGATTAGCGTTTCGATTAACGTTCATTTTATTTACTGTAAGGCTCCATTCAATTTTCACTGACGTCCAATTGATCCGCGATGCTCTAGAATTTAACGTGGTCGAAGGATTCCCCAGGCGGCTCCTTAGCGATTCGCCATGCCCGCCACCCAGCGCGCGAAGAAAGCCCCCGTCCTCCACTCCCGCTCCTACTGGCAAGACTTTCATCGCGCTCGCGCACAGCGCCAGGCACGCAAGGCGGCACGCAACGAAGAATATGGTCACGGCCCCATCGACCTTCACGACGTGCACCCCGTCTACACCTTCATCCCTGGACGCGCCGCGCCATTGATCAGCGCCCCTCCGAGCACCCCCCCCCCGGGAACCCTTTATCTCGGCAGTGGTCCCCCCCATGCGCCCCTCGCCCACCTCCCGAGCAGCTCCAAGAATGCGCAACGCATCGCCCAGCGCGCGCAGGCGCGTCTGAACGCCCGCCCTGACGCCGATTCCGCGCTTCTGGCGCGTCTAGCCAACCGTGAGCTGACGCCACAAAAATCGGCGCATTGTACTTGCCCGACGCACAGAACCCCGGTCCCCAAGGTATTTTTCTTTTTAAAAAAATTGCCTGTCCTTGCTCATATGCATCACACCAGGTCCTGGTTCAAACTGAATGCGTGGACGGCCGCGACTTTATTTTCGAGAATGCGATGAAGTAGTTTACTGCTGCATGTATCTGTTCGACCAAATGATATTCGTTCTTGCTATTCTTGCTATCTGACGCCGGACAAAAAAAAATTAAATGATATATAGTACTTTTACACGCATCCGCACATCCCCATACTCTCTATCGTCGGCGTCGGAATGGTTGTGGCGGAACAACCACTCGAGGTCATCGTCGGTTGATCCCACTGGAGTCCGACTCAAGACATCCCGCCAGTCGTCCACCTCGTCGTCGGCGTATGCCAAAACCACGTCGCAGTTGTTGAGTTTCTGTAGTCGCCGGTCGATCTCCTCGTCCGTAGGCCAAGAGCCGGGGTTTTGGATTGGGATGGTCGTGCCGCAGTAAGAAAACGGCATCCTGGCGGTCAAACGGAGGCCCCTCTTTGTCGCAAAAGCGCTGCCATGCGGCATTCCACTGTTCCACATTATCGTGGTCAGTCCAGATCTTGACGGTGTGTTTGCGTAGGTAGACTCGATAGCGGGCAAACACGGCGCTGCGTCTGATCAGGGCAAAAAATCTGAGGAAGACTGTCGCGCGACGTACCTTGCCCGAAGATCTTCGGAAGACACGTCTACCTCCTTGCGAGTTACGCGGAGTCGTCTCATCCGTTCACGCGCTTTCGCCTGTTCGCTTTCTTTATGTCGAGCGCGGTACCGGGCCTGCGTTTCCGCGCGGTGGTTTGGAACTGGTTTGGTGGGGCTGGTTGAGAAGGAGGTGAAGAGAGGAGCTGATGAGGCAGGACTGATTGTGCCCGCAGTCGGGGCAGCGGGGAGCGTGCAAGCGAATGTGAAAGCAGAGCATAGTGATTCCATGAGGCTTGAGATTCGACCTAAAGCAGTCAGGTGGCGGTGCCAAAGCTGTGCTTTCCCAATATGGGCAGTTCGTGGTATTGGCAATATATCTTCGTGGTGAGTGCCCCAACACTTCGTTCTGGGGTTCCCGTACAAATTTTGAAGGATAAGTATCATAGTTTGGAACCGGGCACGAATTGAGTCTGGAAGAGACTCACATAAAAATTTCGATTCCGCTGTTTGAACCACATACCGCAAGCTTATCCGCAAGGATTCCCTTTCAAATAGCCACACCCCTGACGGGTCAAATCGAGAAACCGCATGAGCGAGACTTGCGATCCGACCTAGTACCATCATCTAAGATGTATCGTTTTCTGATACTTACGAGCCTGATACGAATCCTAACCGAGCTATTCTATTGTTTTAGGTGACTCACTTCACACAATTAAACATATTCTCTAAGATGTAGCTTCAATAGTAATAGAGGATCCTTTTTTTTCATTTCAAGTCCACTAACGAAGGGACGCCTCATCCGAAGTCAGAATGGTCGAAGTCAAAATGACTCGGCGCAAAAAAAAATTAAATCAGCTCAGCAGCCAAAATATGACCTTGCCCAGAATTGAACTGAGATCGTCACAAGAGCAGAGCTCGATGGTTTACTCATTCAGAAGTGACGCACTATCATTATGCTACAAGGTCTTGGTACAGGATGACTGAGCGTAGCAAAAAGGAGCTAAAAAGCGACCCCGCTCAGATTTGAACTGAGACCTTCATGAGAATACACGAAACCGGTATAATTATATTAGCATGGCGTACTACCATTATACTACGAGGTCAACGCACGCTCTTACAAAGAGGGAAGATGACCTTGCTAACTATGATTTCGCCATGGAAATTTACCAAAGGAAATAATCCAAGGAAAATCTCTGGACATCACACGTGATCTTCGCTCCCTCCATCTGCTCTCCTCCTCCCTCCTGGCTCAGCCGCTCTGCGTCGCTGCTTTGCAGAGCGTGACGCGAGCAGCTTGAGCGCAAGGAAAAGCTTGAGGCCCCTCGCCTAACTCTTATCACCACAACGACGTCGCCCAACACGCGTGCTCCTCACCTAACTCTTACCACAACGACGGTGCCCGACGGGGCCTGTCGCCCAACCAGTGCGTTTCTCTTGACCATTTCTTGGCAAGGTCTGAAATTATGGGGCCTCCAGCCTTCAACGTGTGATGCGCTACCTTTCTTGTATCGAGATTTTTCACAGACTGGTACGTACCTTCGATCGACGGGTAGCACTCCAATCAAGCGTTGGCCAGCCGCGCATCGCGTCCTTGTCCTCTGCGCCAGTCGCAATAACTCAAGCGACCGTCCATGTCTTTGACTTCGGGATCATTATTGCGTACAGGTGCGTTTTTTTTGAGGCAGGGGGTGTAGGAGCTGAAAGATCATGAAGGATGAAGGATCAGTGGCACGATGTCCGGCCAACGGCGTCTCATCGGATGGACCCAAAATGCCTTCTATCGGCCCCGCGCTTCGAGTCGAGACAGACCGAGGTCCATGTAAACCTCCGACGCGTACGTCTTCCCTCGACACCTTATTCAGTCTTATTCCGTTGTAACATTCTTTTCAGCGCGCGGTATCATTTTTGCTATTCCCAACTCGAACGGGCGGCGTGTTTCCAGGAGGGAGAAGTTCCGCTACGGAGGGTTTGCACTCCTGACTTGGAGTAGCAACGGACGAAGACGACGCGATTGCCGGTGGACGCGAGGTGGCCGATGCGCAACGAGCACGAGGCCTTTTTTTGCACGATACGATGATTTTACTACTCATACGCGCCTATTCCCACTCACAGAAACTCAATATAACTTGGATCGACTCAGGTTGCACAAATGACCTTGTATTATAATGGTAGTATGCCACGTCGAATTTATGGTCCAAACGGTTCTCGACCCTCGTGATGATCTCAGTTCGAGTCTGAGCAAGGTTTTTTTTGGCACCTTTTTCTACGACCGAGCCCGCGCGATCGAGATGATACATATATAAAGTTTGCTACTGACCTAGATATTGTACATACAAGTCTGCTAAGTAAGCACTGTTCGACTTTGTGTTCAGCTTTCCATCAGTGTCCACCGATTTTCCTCCAAATTTCCACCGAGGCACGTGGTTTTATCCCGATCGGACTTGTCGGACGTTTGGTCACATAACCGTAACCGTAACGCGGGCATTTGCCATGAGCAGCCAACGACGAAGGCGGCGGACACGAACCTCGGCAACATCCAACGCCGAATCTAATGGCATCTCGACACATTCTTTCTCCTTCGCGTTCAACTCTCTGGATGCTCGCATGGAAGATGCGGAGGTACCAACATTCGTGCACCGCGTTTCAAATGACCGCCGCCGCCTCTACGTGGAGGAAATTCCCGTACAACCGCCTTTGCCGGTGAAGCGTTTGCGTCGAACGTATCAAGAGGAGGCGTCTATCGACCCACGCGAGCCGCTCAACGCGTCCGACCACATTGACGCTGGCTTCGAGCGCTACCAGCTCGGCCTGTATGATGACTTTGACGGAGATGCGCCGCCGCTACCGCCTGTACCGGGCCAAAAGAAAAAAAAAACGCGTAGTTAAACCTTCGGTAAGGACGTTTGCGCTTGGAAATCTAACTACGTGGTACTAACATTGAAGTAGGACCCGTCGCTGGCGGAGTGGCGTGCCACGAAGCGCGATATTTCTTGAGCGTCCTGATGTGGAGGGAGGGGAGGGCAGACTCTGGCTCTTCCTGCCCTGGCTGCCGTTCCGGTGGGAAGCCGCCACTATTTCGCTGCAAGGATTGCCACGGCGATGTGATGTACTGTACCGATTGTTTTACTGGAGCGCCATCGTGAAAATCCTTTGCACCGCGTTTATGTCCGTTTTTACTCTTTTTGGCGGGTTACTCGGGACTGACTTGTTGCCAGAAATGGAATGGGCGTTGGTTCGTAAAGACACCCCTCAAGAACCTTGGGCTTCGCATTCAACTCGGGCACGCTGACCACCAAGCTTGCACTGCGCCGGAGCCCGCACACACCGCTTTCGTTACCCTCCACACGAACGGTATCCACGAAGTAGCGGTGGATTATTGCGGCTGTGAACAAGCCTACGACGCTGGTCCGCCTGAAGTCCAGCTGCTGCGAGCGGGTTGGTATCCGGCGACTCACGAAAGACCCCAAACGTGCGCGACGCTCAACGTTCTGGAACAATTTCATCAAGAAACACTGCAATCAAAAACGACGATGTACGACTTCTACGCCGTTCTAGAGAAACTCACCGACAACACGGGCGTTCGACCTCCGAACCGAAAGGACGAGTGGAATCGGATGTGCCGACAGTTCCGCCACTTGATGTTATTGAAGCGTGGTGGTCGAGCCATTGCTTACTCGTCGTCGGGCGCGGCGGGGACGCAGCAAGGCGAGCTGGCGATCCAATGTCCCGTGTGCCCACGTCCTGGAGTGAACCTGCCCGACGGCTGGGAACGGGCACCGCCAGAACTAAGGTACGAATGTGCTTCTCTCTGTTACCTGGGCCGCCGCCGGCTAACGAATGACGCGCGCAGGCATTTGTATACATTTTTCTTGGCGCTCGATGCTTGCTTTCGTTTGAAGCGCCGGCTCATCTCCAGTGAGTTGCGGGATCCGGATTTGGGATCTGGTTGGGCGTACATGGTGGATACCGCGCCGTATCGCAAGTATCTTCGTGGGGTGACGAATCAGAAGGAGGCGAGTCTTTTTCCCTGGTATCAGGAGCGCACGCATTAACTGCTGTTTGCAGATGGAGACTTGCACGGGGCTGGCGGCCCTCGATTACGCAAACACAAAATTCTCGCGCGGGTATGCAACGACCGGTGTCGCCATGGGGGTTTGTGCGAGGCACGAAATTGTGCAAGCTAACGGCGTTGGGGATCTGCAAAGAGGAGAACGGTAAGGCATTGTCAATTTGGCGGAGATGAGGCCGCTTACAGAAAAAAATCAGGTTCGCCAATGTCGATTATGTTGCTGCGAGCATCCTGAAGCACTGGCACCCGGACCTTTTCAAGGTCTTTTCATACGACATCGTATGCATCTGGTCGAAGCACCTCATTGAAAGGCTCAAGGCGCTCCCGGGGAACGTGCGGATATACCTCGTGGCGGCGCTCTGTCGGTTTGTTATCCCGAAAATGCACATCCAGGCCCACAACTTCCTGTGCCGACTTCTGTTCTCCCTCGCTTGGCTTCTGGGGGCAGCGCAGGTGGACGGGGAGGGAATCGAGCGCCCCTGGGCGACCCTGGGCGCGCTGGCGGGGAGTACGATGCGGATGGGACCCGGTTTCCGCCACGATACGTTGGATTGTCAATTGGCCTATTGGAATTGGCTAAAGCTGGTCAATATCTGTACGTGGCCATCAACTTTGGCAATGGGGGAAGCTAACCGGAGTTCGTATAGTTGAGACACTGCGGCGGCGCTTCGACCGGGCGGAGGCAGAGCTGAAGGAGCAGAAAGCCTCCTTCGAGCTCTTCTCTGAACAACAGCGGGATCGCGTCCCCGAATGGACGCAGGCGGTCTTGGAGCACGAGAAGGACCAGACGAAACCGAATCCGTTCGGGATCGTGGTGAAGGGTCTGACGGAGGCCGAAGTGCGCCTACGGTTTGCGACAGCAGAGGAAGAGGAAGCTGCTAAGGGCGTTCCGGCCGTGCATGACGTGACCCCAAGCTCCTTCATTGCGGCGGGGCTGGATCTCGAAGGAGAGCAGTAAGTCGCCAACTGTGGCCTGCCGGCGATAATGCTGACAAGTTCTAGGCGACGCGTTCGCGTTCAGGCTGAATTAAAGAAGGCCGGGACGGCAGGTATGCTGATCGACATGAAGGCGCTTCGGATGAAGCTCAATCGAGGGATTCTGCGATTCCGGAAGCTCCAGGCTGCGTACATGCCGGCGGCGCTGCAGGCGCTGGGAGCGCTGGATTTGCCAGCAACGACGCTGGCCGAGAACGTCCCCCTGCTCCTCCCGTCCGCCCTGACGCATGCTCAGCGAGAGCGGTGCGTGGCGGGGCTGCACTTAGTTGAGCTGGAGATGCGCGATGCGCAGTGCCGTTCAAGCCTCGCGGAGCTCCGCAACCAGCTGTACATCAAAGCGCGTTTGCTCAATTACAAGAGGCTACACGCCCGCCACCAAGGTGCCACGACAAGGGCGAGGTCGACGGTCGAGCGGAATGAAAGCAAGATCCGCTTACATTCTGAGAAGTACCAGACAGCATGGGATGCGCTGCGACGGCTGAATGGGGGCGACGAAATGCAGGTTGGGTGGCGCGTGCTGAGAAGGGAGGATATCCGATGTATGGAGGACGCGGAGGATTATTCGAAGAGGGCGCAGGCGCGGAAGGAGAGGGATGAGCGCCGGCGAAAGCTTTTGCAAGCCTTGCGGGATGAGGGGGGGGTTTTGCCGGCGGAGGACGACGACGACATGGGATCAGAGGAGGGCACGGGGCGTGGCACGGAGAACGAGCGTCAGATCTCGTGGATTTGGACGTACACGGAGACCACGGGTACCGATGCTGAGCTCCTGGAAGGTGGGTTCCTGCCGACTTGTTCAATTGATAGAATGCTAAGGAAACATATCCAGCGCTGAAGGTTGAGTGGTCAAAGGCTTTCGCAAGGACTCGTCGCTGGGAGGAGGAAGAGGGGTTACTCAAGGAGGAGTATCGGCGGGTGGGCGAGAGTTTCGATTTTGAGGCCGCCAAATGGACTGCGCGCGCCGCGAGCGTGCGCCTTGGCGTTATTCCGCGCCCAGACGCGGAGGGGGCCATCGCGTACGCGGAGCGGCAGGCTGAAATGTACCGAGACTTCAAGGTGCGAGGGGAAAAAGTGTGGACGGAGGTGAAGCCGACGAGGGGGAAGAAACGGGCACGCCACGTACCGGCGTCTCTGCAAACTGCAGTGGGGGGTGAAGAAGTGGATGCGGAGAAGGGAGAGGGGGATGAGGATAGCGGGCAGGAGGAGGACGGGGAGGAGGAGGAGGGGGAGGATGGCGACGAGGATGAGGGAGGCCCAGCAGACCTGACGGATGAAGAAGAGATGGATGAGATGGAGGACGACGCTTAACGCGGGCACGCGAAGGGAGGGCGTCGGTGGCAGTCAGGGAAGGAACCAGCGGCGGAGAGGCGGTGGCGGTGGCGGGGAGGTGGGCGACGACGAGGCAGAAACCTGGGGCGCGCAGCGAGGCGGGCACAGCAGCGGGCAGCGGAGGAAACGGGGGCGCGCCCCGAGCGGAGTGGAGGCGCAGCGCTCCGCGCGAGCGCGCCGCCTGCACGCGGAATGGATGCGCACGCCCGCGGCGCGCGCCGCCGAGTGCGCCGCCTGCGGAGGGCAAGAAGCACCGGGGGCGCGCCCCGCTGTGGGCGCTCGCGAGCCTGGGCGAGGAGCGAGCAGCGGCGAGGGCAGGAAGGAGGTGTGCCCCGAGCGGGAGGTCAGCGCACGCCCTGAGCGCGCCGCCTGCGCGAGGAGCGGGAGGCGGCGAGCGCAGGAATCACCCCAAGCGGGAGGCGTAGCTCATGTGCCCCGCTCCGCGCGAGCGCGCCACCTGCACGACGATATAATATGTAACTGACACGTAATTACTTGTTCCGGATGTAGCGGCCCACCGGGCGGGGCGCGCAGCGAGGGGCGGGCGGGGCGCGAATAACACGTAAGTATTGACCCGACCAAGGGCGGGCAAGGCGCGATTAACACGTAAATATTGACCCGACGAGGGGCGGGCAGGGCGCGCAACGGGCGGGTAGTAACACGTAAATATTGACCCGGGCGGGGCGCGCAGCGAGGGGCGGGCGGGGCGGGAATAACACGTAAGTATTGACCCGACCAAGGGCAGGCAAGGCGCGATTAACACGTAAATATTGACCCGACGAGGGGCGGGCAGGGCGCGAATAACACGTAAGTATTGACCCGACCAAGGGCGGGCAAAAGGCGCGATTAACACGTA